CACCAAAAAAAACCAAAACAAAACTGAAAATTCTTATTTTTTTCCCCTTTAGTATTTCATGTTGATTATGTGTAATTAATTCAAATAGAGCTGAATTAGCTGAATTAAGAATGAAAGATTCTCAAAAGACTGAGTGACTGAACTTTCTGTATCATTTTACCCTAAGAGGAGTTGGAAGTAATTTGTGTATGTGTAATATAACTTAAGACAAAAGAGAGAATGTAAAGATCCTATTTTGCCTATGGTCAAGCAACGCGATATTGCTTTATAAGTGTTTATGTACTACAATAAAAAAATGTCATGGCCTCAAATCCACACTGTTTATAATTTTAGAAGTTTATTGCTTTAAAAATCTAAACAATAGCAGCCAACAGCAGCCTAAAAAAATCTAAATAGCAGCCAAAACAGGAACAAAGAAATAGCTGAACTTAGGAAAAGAAAGTGTTCATATTCAAAATCTTTTGCTAATGCTACTGTGTATAAATATGTAGTAGAATTTTGGTTTTTTAATTATTTCACTGAGTATTATTTATCTGGGGGGTTATATTTTTAAACTCAGAAACAGGTTGAACTGCTTTTCTTTACTTTCATTTGCCCTTAGAGTCAAACAGATGGAGTTTTATCCATTTAAGACACATCTGGGAATCTCAACTAGAAAATCCAACAGAGTAATGATTAATATGTAACAGTTAACCGTGAAACTACAGGAAAGCATCAAAATAAGAAGGAAATGTTACTGTGTTTATATTAATGTGAGAAATAAATTTTTACAACCTATAAAAATATTTGCATGTATACTTATTCCCAGCAAGTTTCTATGGCTTAAAGTGGAATTGAACTAGGTTCTGCTCTTGACAATCTGAGTATGGAAAGTTCAGTTTTGCAAATATGAGATTTGTGGACTTTTTAAAAAAAAGTAGCAACTTTTGAAGCATGGACTTTCTTCAGATTTTAGATTAGATGCACAAGTCATAATCAAAGTCACAGTAAACAATGCCTGATATAGACTCAACTGTATTATAAAATTTATAACACTTCTTTTAATCTTTTTCTCAATTAGCATTTCTCCTATAATTTTTTAATCAAGTAACTTCATTAAATCTATATGCTGGATAGCAAACTGTGTGTTTTAGATTACAGGGATTAGATTAACAACAGTAACTAGGACCGGAATTTCCATCGCTAAGTGATACGGCCGTAAAGCGCGATGTCACATGACCGAATCACTTAGCGACAGCAATCCCGGTAGTCCCCTTTGCCATTGTTAACTGAATCCCACCAGTCATTAGGCAAGGACCCATTCTGATCCGAGCCATTCTCAGCTTGGTCCTTCCCAGCCCCAACCCTCAGTAAGGTAAGGGACTGCTTCCTCTTCAACTGCCCCCACTGAGGCTGAAGTGGAGGCCCGGGGCTTTTAGCATTCTCAGCCAGCCACCACTGCCTCTGAGCCTCTACTTTAGCCCAGTGCCAGAGGTGCCATCACCGCCAAGGAGTGCCTCCTCAAGGCCCAGGCTGCAGCTAGCCACCCAACGCAAAGCCCCCACCTCTCCCACCCTGTGCTCCGGAAGCCCTGCTGCCTCCAGCAGCTGCTGACTGCACACAGGCCTTCTTCCCAAGGCTGTGCACACCATTCTCCAAATTGTGTGCGCTATTCTTGCAATGCTTTGGAGAATGGCACACATGATTTGGAGAAAGGTGGGTGCAGCCTTCTCGCGAGGTTTCAGAAGGCTTTAGAAGCCTTCCAAAGCATTGCAAGAATGGTGTGTACAGCCTCAGGAAGAAGGCCTGGTGCAGCCAGCAGCTGCCTCGCACGGGGCCAGGCTGGGCACACCTCATCAACAGCAAGAGGAAGAAGATAGGGAAGGTCAGCTGGGCACAGCAGGACCAGCAGAACGCAAGGTGGTGGAAGTGGCTGGGGCTTTGTGCTGTGGTGCTGCAGTGGTCATTCGAATGCTCGCTAAATGAATGGTTGTTGAGAGGACTACCTGTAATTGTTAAGCAAGGACTACCTGTAATTGAATCTGACCAAGTTTCGTTATTCTCATTTCTGCTTGAAAGTCACTAAACATGTTGTGAGCCATTCAATCAAAGATGAACAGTTTCAAAGTTACCTGCCACTTCTAGCAGGATCTGTAGCTGATTTAAAATTTTTCAAATTTTTAGAATCTTGACTGGCCAAAAAAAAAATTGAAGACCAGGACAAAGTTACTTCTTTTCTAACCTTAGCTTATGGTCAGTTCAGGAACCAAGATTAAATCCTGCA